AACTGTCGACAAAGAGTTCAAGCTCAGCTCGGTCGCGTCGAAGAAGAAACCAAGCGTCTCGCTATGATCCGTGAGGTATGTCAGATTTCATAATTTTTTTAATTTTATTGGCACTTTTTTCATAAGAACAACTAGGGAACTTGTACATTTGAGCTATTAGTGTAAGAGAATTTGCCATCAATCTTAGTTGGAGGGAATATTGTAGGACCCAAGTGTTGAAAACTTCAAGATCTGACCAGAATTGCATGGAACAAGATTTCTATTTCCATTTATGTTTGTGTAATGCGCAATACTCCGCCTTTTATTATTTCATTTCTGCGTATATGAGGTCAATTTCCGTTAGATTAGAAACCCGAATGGGAAAATTTAGGATCTTTGTGTCAGATTTGGAAGCTAAATGTTCAGAGCTGAATTTAGGGTTTCTCAGTGGGGGTTGGATTGGCTGTAATCCTTGCTTGTATCTATCCTGATTTCTAGCATAGTTTGTGTAATCAGGCTTTGAGTATAAGCTATGGAATCATGGATTTGTTAGTAAGGGATAGAGGGGTTTCGATGAAGCTCTTGCTCTTTAGAGTAAAAAACCCAAATTCTTGATTGTGGTTATTAATGGTGACCTGAAACTGAATGGTGAATGCATCAGGAACTGGAAGCTTTGGCTGATCCCATGAGAAAGGAAGTTGCTTTGGTCCGGAAGAAGGTTGATTCTGTGAACAAAGAGTTAAAGCCGTTGGGGCATACGGTTCAGAAGAAGGTAATGCACAAAAGAAGGGACAGAACCCGAGTTCATGTTTGAGGGTATTACAGTTTCCGATTAGGATGTTAACTTGGTGTTTTGTCAATTGCAGGAAAGAGAGTACAAGGAGGCACTTGAAGCATTCAACGAAAAGAACAGGGAGAAGGTGCAGCTAATCACCAAACTAATGGAGGTTAGTTCACATAATTTCCCTTGATATTTATCTGTTGCATATCTCGAATCTCTTGTCCGGGGTGCATTTGTTTGAACAACTTGGTCTGTTGTCTTCACCGGGTTTGGCTTTGTTGAGACTAACTTGCCTTTGCCTGCTCTTGCATTGTTCCCATTACCAAACCCTGTGTGTGTAAGATGAAGATCATAGCAGACGTTTAGCCTTAGCTTATGAGTTTCGGGTTTTACTGGTTGAATGCCTTGCTTCTAAAAACCTGTTTCTCGGTTTGAAACGAGATGGATCGGTATATGATCGACCGCGTCAGGGGTTTGTTTGCATAGTTTTGGCAAATGGGTTCCTCCAAACTAGATGCCATCTTTGATCTTAAGACAACTCTCTGGGAATCACATATCTTAAACAAGTCCAAGATCCCTGAAGAAACTGTCCGAGATCCCAACTTCCTGTCTTGTCTTAAACAGTAACCGATTCTTACAATGATTTTTCGGGACGATGAGACTAATGTTGGTTTGCTAAAAAAATGGTTGTTTTGGATGAACAGTTGGTGGGCGAAAGCGAGAGACTGAGGATGAAGAAGCTGGACGAGCTAAGCAAGAACATAGAATCTATACACTGACTTGACAAAGCCGGGAAACGTTGGGGGGAGAGGCCAGATCCTCATGTTTAACTTTGGTTAGGTTTTGTGGTTGATGTATTTAAATATGCGACCTTATTATATAATTATATTATAATGTCGGGTGGTTATTTTTAATTTCAGGTTTGGTGTATTATGTTATTATTATATCCCCATTAGTATTTTTTTTTGTGTGGAGAATTATAAGTGTTTTAGGAATACTCTGTTAAGACAAAAAGACAGGTTTGTAAACTAAACATTTACTTTTTTTTAACTCTGCATTCCTTTTATCCCTCTTGTCTTTATTATTTTTCTCCTCATTTTAGTAAAATATTGTCCTACCTAATCTTTATTTTAATCTAAATTTCTCTTTTAAGTGTGTCATTGTGTATATGGAAATATGAATTATTGTACTATTTCAATCTCATTTTTAATTTTTTTTTTTGGAATGACAGCCATATATATATATATATGTATGTATATGAACGTTAAGAAAAAATTCCTCATGTTGAGATTAGGTGGTGCATCAAACATGATGGTGGCTATTTCAATGGCAGACACATCGGAAAGAAGAAAAAAAAAACAATATAATTGGTGCATCCTTTATTTCATTTCGTAACATTGTCCATGCGTACTGATTATACAATTATGGTGGAGCTTGGACTACAAACTTAGGGCAAATCGACTCAATTTCAGATAGCATCTAGGAATAGTTATTGAGCTAATATCGGATAATATATCTTCCAAATTTTACGAATATACACAATATAAGTGGATATTTCGACCTTTTTTCTTCTTTTATTTATGCTATATGTGGGTTTTTCAGTTTTGATTTGAACTCTTTTCTATATTATTTGTAAATAAAATTTCATTTCGATTAAATCCTTTCGTTTAGTTTATTTGTATTAATTTAATTTTATATTCCTTAGTAGAGAGGGAGAATAAAATGAGTTTTAGAAAGAAAAAAAAAAACCTCGAAAGAGAGGGCGTAGAGAAAGAACACTTCAGGATGGGATGGGCTTTTCGTGAGGTGCGTGCATACGCATCTTATCATCTCCCCGGGCCCCACTACTCCCGCTTTTTTTTTTTTTTTTTTTTTTACTTTTTATTTTTTTCTC